TATTTGTTTGTTTAGTAGGCTGTTAGAGAGCTTTGCCAATAGCGAANCACAGGTGTTAATTAACCATAACATGGATGTCTTATGATAATGTGCCACGCAGTGTAAAGGGGCATTTTCACAGAGGAATCCGTTTTTGAGCAAATCATCGTATCACTTGGACACGAGAGTGATTACTGCAAACAGACGACCATTTCCGGTCCGAGGATCATTTACGGAACAATCTGGGGATCGTTTCCGGTCCTGGGGCCCGTTTTTCGAAAGCTCCAGAAACTTCGGGTCCATAAAGCCATTTTGGTTCATCAGCCTCTAAAAAAGGAGAAGTGTATTGGCCTGTAACTTCTCCTATGAAGAGAACCTCTGTTCATATTAAGAATATGCGAATAATCCAGCTCTGTGTTCATAAGGTTTGAGATGTCTTTCCGCGTGCGAGAACTTTACGGGACTTTCGAGAAACGGGCCCCTGGGTTCATTTGCGGGCTTTGCCCACTTTGACAAACATTTAAATAGCAATTTGACGTAATCTGTCGTCTATACAAACTTGGGCAAACTAATTGGTCGCTTTGCTGGTTCAGGGGAATTACGTCATTGTCAAACTTGAATCGAGCAGAACAAACTGCGAACTCTACAGATCTCCCACAAAATGGTGGAAAAGTTGACTCGGTTTTTGTCATCAGAGCACCCCTGCGTGCCGAAAAACCGGAAGTTGCCTTGCATATTGCAGGGGTTGAAGAAAAACACACGGAAAATTTGCGGTTGCGGTCGAAATCGACACGTTGGAGGCCATTCTATTCGAATTTAGAATGAAGTGAGAAGCGTTAGTAACGGTGGAAATTCGTGTCCTCTTTGGCTGGTGATTCTCAAGTGCGACAGACACACTTTCTAGCTGCGATACAGCCTGCCGTGAGCTGTAGTGAGCTATATTTTGCTCGCTGCTCTGTCCTGAAACGAACTGGAACATGCGCGTCGGAAAACGAGGTTATGTGATTATTTTAGGACGTGATGTTGTGATGTTTCTATCCTGACACCAATCTACATAAATAATTATTTTAAGACTGAGTAAAGTTGTATTTTTTAAATAAATTAATCTCATAAACATTTTGCATATTAGGTTTGTTAACTTCGAGACAAAGCAATGGTTTCTTACGTTGAAATAATTTTAACACCAATTTTGTGTTTTGTTTAGTCTCGCTCGACTGCCGACTAAGACTGCTCGAGTATTTTTTCCGAGTTATTTTCTTAAAAAAAGGCTTTTTCGGAGCCCGACTTTATTGAAAGCCACGTTCTACATCGCTTATCTGTACAGCGCCACATGTATCCGTCATTTACCCGTCTCTGTTAGTTCCATATCAGAACCACATCGAGAACACTGCTGACAGCTCGCTAACAGCTTCTGAGTCAATTTAAAACATATATATTCTGGAAACTTTCCAGTATAACAAAAAGATCACGGAACTCCATGTTTTATAACGTCGAAATTAGGATCAAGTGTAGATTTAATTAGGATCAATCATGGACTGCATATTATTCACTATTAGCTCTGGTATCTTACTTTTAAAAGATGGAGCCAAGGACAGAAATCAAAACGCCTAGTTTGTATGAAAATCCGTGCTTTGGGACTGATAATTGTAGAGCATGATGCAGTGCACGTGGATTTCATTTTCACATAGCTTTTCTCGTTGTAGAAAATACATTTTCCGCTGGTATTTTAACGTCACATTCCTCACTGGATTTTCTGTGTTAGGTGTCGGAGGACGCCTATTGCGAAGTCGTGATTGGTCGTTTCTTTCTATTTATACTTTACGGCAGTTTCGTTCAATCTCTCTCGCTTGCAACCCTACACTTATTATCCTTCGAGTATAGCCCGAGTACACGAGTGTAGCCGGCCCGCCCACCCTCTTTCAGATATGTTCCTTTAATCTGTTCCTCTTTATCCATTGCCTGATACTGCCTTTGTTTTCATTTATTTTCAAGCGGCAGAGAGGCTTACATGGATCGCGCACGATGCCTCAGGTGCTTTAAGCTCGGCCATTGGGCAAGAGGCCGTACCAGCGCTTGGTCGAGCCTCAGAAATGTCTACCGTGTATATCCAAGCAGCCGATATTGACCTATCTAGCCAGTTGCCTTTGTTCAGGCCATTTGCGAAGAAGAAATTAGGGTATACCCTTAGGAATGGCAAATTATCTTATACCCGTTGTAGGGAGATATTCAAGGACCTTTTAAAGGATGTGAGCTATGATCCCAAAGATTACGGCCTCCATAGCTTACGTTCTGGTGGGGTAACCTCTGTTGTTAGTAACGACCTCTCGCATAACGTTGCTGAGCGATTGTTAAAGCTTCACGGACGCTGGAAAAGTGACGAGGCTAAGGACACGTACGTATTAGATAGAACCACAGTGTAGCCGATTAGGAGTAACAAAATATCTAGGAATTTAGCTCGTGGTCCATTATATTCAGTATTCTCTTGAAATGTATCTTAATAAACGGTAATAAGACTGTTAGGGTCCGCATGCCATCCACCCATGCTTCTTTGTACCTGTTTTGCGGATATTTAAGTGGTAAATAATTTACGTTCGTTTGAACGTAGTGGATTAGAACGTAATACTAACCTGACACAACTAATTAAATGTACATAAATTGGTGTCAAAGGGCCATTTTTGCAGGGGGTCCCCATAACTTGAAGGGAGTAAAATATGTTGACCTACTGTTTCTTGTTCTTGTTGTATTTTTACCACTTATAAATATATATAGTCATGCCCACGATAAGCATACACTCACCAAACCCAACATTTGTGCCAAGTAAAGTTTGAGCGAAGCTAAAAAAGCAGTATCACCTCCTGCCTGGTTTTCTCATGGATACACTCTTTAATCAAGATTGTCGTTCGGAAGTGTTCCATAATAATAAGGTGCAATACGCTTTTGAAAATCCCCGTTACACTTAAACGATTACTGTGCAATCAAAAGTAAGGCAGCTGGATTTAAATTATACAGAACTGGAAGCAAGGGGCCTATTTTTTTTTATCTATGAAACTATGACGCTCTTTTTGCCTGAGACAAATTAAACGGTTCTCTATCACTTCAAGTGATCTCCACAGATTTTAAAGTAGTCAGCCAAAAATTTAAAGCAGCCAGCGCTTGCAAATCGAGGGTCCGAAGGACGCGAGATTCTAACGTAGTACGGGGGCATGCCCCCAGAAAATTTTCAAAACTTATGTGGCTAGAAATGCGATCTGAGGTATTTTGGGGGCAACTGACACAAGAAAAGATGTGTCATTTTATTGTCAGTTTTCGTCCCGTTTTTATGCAAATTGGACAGTATTTGCTAATACAGGTACAGTAATTACAAAATTTGTCGTGCAATAATTGTACAATAATTATTACTTGTAACATACAACGTATTTCCTTTTAAATTCTTTCAACGACTTTAAAAAGAAGCGACTTTAACTTTTCTTAAAAATATTTAAGACATTTTTTAAAAAACGCTTAAAAGATACACGACGAATATTCTATAATACAAGAAAAGCAGTGGTTTATTAAAAAGAAAGGTAACATAAAATATGCTAGAAGCTAAACAAAGAGTGAGTCACTCTGAGTGTTAAGGCTAGGACTCAGTTCTTTGATGAATAGCATTTCGTAAACGAGGCAGTCAAATTTCACGTGGCACTTTTTGAGAACACGAAATTGGTCCTCATTAAGAAGATTTTTGTCACGGTGCACCTGTAAAAGGTATTTACCTATAGCCGAAGACTTGTGTTCGCGAATGCGTTCATGAAGATGTCGGGTTGTATAACCAACATAATCTGTATCACACAGATCACATGCAGATTTAAAAACAACGCAATGCTGACTTACAATACTCGGCTTAGTTTCTTTTGGCTTAAGATCTTGCTCCAATTTTTTGCTCACAAAAATTGGCTGTGAAGTGACGGCAATCGTATTGCTGAAATCACGTAATTACCTACGGACTGCATTAGCGGCTATCTGATCTTTGAATGTAAGAATATTAATAATAAAAACAATATTTACAGAGGATATCACCAAGCTAACACTAACTTAATTAGGGTGGTCCTCTATCTCTAACTACTAAAGAAAGCACGTAGGACGAAAACTGATGAAGACTGGAGATAAGCAGGAACAAAATAAGCAGGAACACAACATACTATAAAACTGATCAGATCTGCTAAACCCAATTTCTTTAAAACTGCAATTAATGACAATGTTAACAATCCAAGAATCTACTGGGACCATCTGAGCACGCTCATTAAAGGAAAGAATGTACAACAGCACATCACTCTTCAGGTTGAGAACAATAAGCTGACGTCTGATCCAAATAAGGTGGCTAAAGCATTCAATTCGGCTTTTGTGAATATCGTGCAGAAGTACATTAATGTAAACCTCCAGGGTACGCCTGATCTTCAGAAATTGAGGCCTTTTGTTAGTAAGATGAAACCATCAGGCGAACTTTTTAATATACAGCGTATATAAACAAGCTGCTTTGTTAAGGAGCAAATAAATTCGATGTCAAGTTTTTCCTTTTTTTCTGTGTGACTGGTATATTCCACAGTCTATTCCTTGTAGTTATAGCTAGAGTCAATAAACGCAGTTGCAACTCCGAAATTTGTGCAAGATTAATTATTGCGTTCCCATTCAAATGAAATTTTGGAACTCTTTAATGTGACTTTGTTTGTTTTCCGATAGTTTTCGGCTTTCGCAGAAAACAAGTACGAAGTAAATGCAAAATGCTGCTGTTATAATTGTCGTTGTTGTTTATAGTGGTCAATGCGCTTAGCTACACCTCGCTAGTTCACAGACATGCCACTTAAACTGAAAGAAAGAAATATCAACTAAACTTAATAGTCTTAAAAATCCCAACTGGTGGCAGACCAGTTGGCTATTTACAAGCGTGACCCAGAAGTTGAACTTCGGTCTACCGAGAAACCACTCTAGCTTAGTGGTAAGAGCGTAATTTGAACCCGAGACCACAGGATTACAAGTCAGCCGCCCTAACCACTCAGCCACGCTGCCACAACAGTTTTATTTTTCGCGCTAAAATGAACTGTTCCTGGTTCAATAGCACGTGAACGTCTTCTACAGTACTTTTTCAAAGCATTTTTAAAGATAGGCATTCTCAAACAGTACACGAATGGATTGATCATGGAATTTGCCAAATGCAAACAGTTCACAGTCCTTAACACCATTGGTGAAACACAACCTTTGCAAAATTCTTTTGTTGTGTACACTGCTATAGCTGGCAACCACAACACAAGCGACACAGCAGCCACTATAAAAAACGTCCTTGAGAGTCGTACATTCTGATCCATTGATCTTTGGTTGTGAATCTCTATTTCAGGTGGTGTGACTGAGTGTAATCGAGTACGTATAGTGAGATAACTTGCACAGATGATTAGTACACACAGGAAGAGAAGTGAATGAATAGCGACACTAACATACACGCTGTCCACCTCTGTGTGCATCGGTAGAAATGTTGACCCAGCCAAGCATAACCCGGCTGTCCAGGAGAAAATGATCGTAGAGATGTAAACACGCGTGCTTGTAACATGATGCTGGAGTGGCCGCAACACAGCGTGCACGCGTTCAAGAGAAATGAGAGCCAGGAAAATGACGGACGTACTCGAACCAAGGATTTGAACTGTTGATGAGGGATTTTTGATTCTCTTTTCGTCTTCTACTCGAATCATTTTCATTTTGGGAATCTTCTCGGTTCCCAGGACAATGGGCTCTGCTATCCCCACAAGTAAATCAGCGATTGCGAGGTTAACAAGAAGGAAGCATGTTCGCTTTAGGCGCGATCTTTGAGTACAGAAAATAAAAATGGTAAACGTGTTTCCTATGATAATGACGGCTGCCTCGAGTGCTAATGTTATAATAAGTAAGATATCTGTTGACTTCAGCATGATCTTC